GGCCCGGGCCGCCCCCGGCCGGAGGGCACAGTCTGAGGGGGGAAGGGGCACGCACGGCAGGCACGGGAGGGGCAGCGGACCGAGAGGGGCTGTCAGTCAGCGCGGTTCGTTTGTCAGCAGATAAGAGTTACGAGCCTCTGTAACAGCGATACGGTGGCTTGTCCCGGCTCACTCCGCTAGCGGCGTGACGGCGGTCGGCAGAGCGCAGGGGAAGCGGCCCTGTGCCGCTCCTTAGGACGAGCAAGGGAACTCGCCTCCACACTCCAGAAGGGCGCAGTCTGGGCACCGGCGAAGCTGCCGTCCTCGGAGTGTTGGTACAGGCGAGGGGCCTTTTACATCAGCCATGAACATATGTGCAGAAATCTCTGTTGATCCTGCCGCTCTTTTGCGTGCGCAAAGTTCCTGGGGCAAGTGCTCTTCTAATTTCAGTATCTTCAGGAGCCTGAGAGTCTTCCCTTTGGACTCATTTCTGGCTGCTTATAGAACTTGGATATTCTCCTCTAATTCTTATGCACAAGTTATTAAGGCCTAAATACCTTATTGGGATTTTCATTCTTACAGTCTCAATATAAATTAGAAAGGAATCTAACCTTAGAATAAAACTGAGTGCTGCAGTGATGATTTAGAAGGTGAGGTAAAAAAATCTAAGGATTTAAAAAAAAACATGGTGCCTTGCTGATGAGAAGCAAAATTGAATGGAGTAAAATGATGTTGATGTAAAATCATCATAGAATCATAGAATGGTTTGGGTTGAAAAGGATCTTAAAGACCATCTAGTTCCAACCCCCTGCCATGAGCAAGGAACCTTCCACTAGACCAGGTTGCTCAGAGCCCCGTCCAACCTGGCCTTGAACACTGCCAGGGAGGGGGCAGCCACAGCTTCTCTGGGCAACCTGTGACAGTGTCTCACCACCCTCACAGTGAAGAATTTCTTCCTTAGATCTAATCTAAATCTACCCTCTTTTAGTTTAAAAACATTATCCCTCACCCTATAAGTAAAGTCCCTGATTAAGAGTCCCTCCCCACCTTTCCTGTAACCCCCTTTAGGTACTGGAAGGCCACTATAAGGTCTCCCCAGAGCTCTCTCTTCTCCAGGCTGAGCAACCCCAACTCTCTCAGCCTGTCCTCATAAGGGAGGTGCTCCAGCCCCCTGACTATCTTTGTGGCCTCCTCTGGAACAGTTCAAGCAGCTCCATGTCCTTTGTATGTTGGGGTCCCCAGAGCTGCAGTTGGGGTCTCACGAGAGCAGAGTAGAGGGGGAAAAACACCTCCCTTGACCTGCTGGCCACACTTCTTTTGATGCAGCCCAGGATACAGTTGGCTTTCTGAGCTACGAGTGCACATTGCTGGCTCATAGTCAGTTTTCCATCCACTAATACCCCCAAGTCCTTCTCCTCAGGGCTGCTCTCAACCCACTCATCACCCAGCCTGTATCTGTGCTTGACATTGCCCTGACCCATGGGCAGGACCTTGCACCTGGCCTTGTTGAACTTCACGAGGCCCACCTCTCCAACCTGTCCAGGTCCCTCAGGATGATAAGCCTTCCCTTCAGTGTGTCGATTGCACCACACAGTGTTGCTGGCAAACTTGCCGAGGGTGCACTCAATCCCACTGTCCATGTCACCAACAGAGATGTTAAACAGCGCTGGTCCCAACACCAGCCCCTGAGGAACCCCACTCATCACTGCTCTCCACTTGGACATTGAGCACTGACCACAACTCTTTGAGTGTGATCATCCAGCCAATTCCTTATCCACTGAGTGGTCCATCCATCAGTTCAAATCTCTCCAATTTAGAGACAAGGATGTTATTTAGGACAGTGTCAAATGCTTTGCACAGGTCCAGGTAGATGATATCAGTTGCTCTTATCCACTAATGCTCTAACCCCATTGAAGAAGGTCACCAGATTTGTCAGACATGATTTGCCCTTAGTGAAGTCATGCTGGCTGTCACCAATCATCTCCTTATTTTCCATGTTCCCTAGAATAGTTTCCAGGAGGATCTGCTTCATGATCTTGTTGGGCACAGAGGTGAGACTGAC